TTGGTCACTGGATTCATGAATGCAAATCACATTTTATGGTTTAATTTTAGATATTTCTGCTCTATGGAAACAGCTCTTTCAAAAATCACCAGTGAGATAGATTCCTTATTGTCGTGTGCCAGGCCATCCACAGTGTGGCACCAATCGAACACACTTAAACTTGCAGCCCAGGAAACCAAGCGCCAGTTCTGAAGGATATCTAACCTTTTTATGCCTCGCAGGTTCCTCACCTCCACCTGTTGACCTCCCATCCATCCCACCTATCCCAAATGGCACCCTCGGGGTCATTGTTGTGGCCTTTGAACACCTCTGTATCTTTCTTTATAGCATGGGTGATGTTTTACCTACAATTACAGCGATTAGTGTACTTGCTTTATTTCCCTAATTAGAACATGAACTCTTGGAAAGCTTGGACTACTTTTGAGTCAACTCCAAATCTCCAGTGAATAGTACAGGGCCTAGTAATTGCCAACTGCTCCAGGGATTGGAGATAGGGATTGAGTTAGGAAAAGCCACATTGGGAACACATGTCTCAGTGTGCCCTTTATTCTGGGATCATTCCCCTTCATTTTCTATATCTTTCCTTCCTGTTGCCTTTAGGTGAAAGAACAGGTATGCAGACTATTAATAGTAATTTTGTGGCTCTGTAATCTATGTTAAGACAGATAATCTGTAAGTTTTTATCTATAGCTTCATGACTTGGTTGAAATCTCCTAGGGTCTTTGTGAGCTGTGTTTGGAAAAGGCACTGATGATTTTTTCCTATCTTTTCCTTGCCCCTTCTTGCCTGTCACATTATCTCTGTCCTTATAGACTTGTTGACAAAAGAGGCTTAATTTGGGGAGGCCACATGGTATATTGAAAAGGTCATGACCTTTAGAGTCAGATTATGTGTAAACTCCAATTCAGTCACTTAGAAATGTCATTCTTATCCTCAGTTTTTGATCTGTGAAATGTCATGCAATGAGATAAGATGTTTAAAGTGATTGACAAACTCAAGTCAGTGCTCAATTAATATAAATTCTCTTTTTTCTAATCAGAACTAATATTATTCAGCATCTAAAATGTAAGTAATACGCTGGCTACTTTTAAATAGTAACACTTAAATGAACTGTCATGATGTTAAGCTGGATTTATGTGAGTATAACAGAAACGTTTTAAAATCCAAGTTTATCTTATAAAGATAGTGTTTAAATCTTTTGTAAACTTTTCTGTAGATGCACATAAACCCATGAATGTGCAGTTCTTTCCTATAGAATGTTTTGGACATTATGAATTGCTTGTACTTAGTATAGAGTACATTTTAAAAAATATTATGATTGTTTATTTTTTTTAAATTTAGCATTTTATTTACTCCTTTTTCAGATTAATATTGTCAGTCAATACCAGTAACTATTAAGAATCATAATGGTAGGAATCTAAGACTTGAATAAGATTAAAAAAAAGAAAAAAGCTAATTAAAATATCTGGTTAATATAAAGATAAATAATGAGCAAACATATGAAATTCCTTATTTTGGATGCTTTCGAAGGTGAACACTACACACATTAGTCATATAATAGATTATAGATAGGGGAAAACTAATTTCCAAGAGTTAAACCAAATCAGAAACAATTAAAAAAGTTATCTTACTATTCAAAAAATAGTATAATAAAGAAATGGTACTAATTATTTTTATTTGATAACCATATATGTTTTCTAAGTCTGATGTGAAGTTTTAAAGAAAGATGTAGAAAACAACCTACCTTAGCTCTTTCATTTGAAAGATTTGGTAATATACCAAAGAAAGAGAAAGTAGTACAGCTGGTATTAAAGCTAAATGAAAACAATAGAACCAGAGAGATGAGCAACTGTGGGAAGATTCATTTCCCAATTATGAGGAAGCGGCCTCATTTTAATGTTGGCAGAAATTATCTGCTATCATTAGTTCCAGGCTAAAGTAATTTTGCTTAGAACTGTACAATGTTAGGATGCTGGAAAACCATTCCTTGGGGAAATTGGCCAGAGCTAGAGATCTATGTGAGGATGCACCGAATGCCCTATCTTGGGTTATCTTTGGAACAGGAATGGGGTACCCTATGCTCTGCCTGTCTAGCCAACCTACACCCAGAATTTAGATAACATAAGAATTCTGTGCAGTTTCGATGTGCCGTGACACAACATACACTGTGATTTATATAGAAATGCTACGGAAGTTTCAAAGGGGGAAAGGTCACTCTCTAATGAGGGTCTTCACAGAGGAGATGAGATAGAAATCGAGCATTGAATGATGGATGTTATTTAGTTAAACTTATGGTGGGAGGGCTTTTCTTGAAGAGAGAACAAAATCAACAAAGAAGATGGAACAAAAAATGAAAAAGCCATACTTTCTTAAAATAAGAAGCTTACAGGTTTGAATTAGTGAGTCGAGAGTTAAAAGGTGTGTATTTACAGATGACTCAAAACAATTGTGGGGCCCTGAAGTAGACTCACAGAAAGCAAAGGCTTCCATGTTTACTACTTGCACATGCAAAGACTCCTGATGCTGTTCTCTTCACTCTAAGGTTCCCGGTCCAGATCTCAGAGCTGCAAGTTCAGGCAAAGTTGTAAAATAGGTTAAGATTAGTCAACCTCATCTTTCTTTCTAGAGCCTTCCTTTTCCCCCCGCCCCCGCCAAACACCCACTGTTCTATGGTGACTGTGCAGACCCTCCCTCTGGCTTGTCTACTTAACTCTGTCCTTATTAGCAGTACCATGTCTTAGGTGTTTGGTTATGGACAAAGCTTTAACTTAGTGACTCATCTGTGGCAGGCCATTGGGGGAGGCAACTTCGGCTGGTGGAGGAAGAGTGTGGGCTTCCTCATTCCTCATTCCTCAGAGAACACCATCTTGGAGCCTATTATACATTCACGGTAATGTTGGCATACCCCTGGGAGGAAGTCACGGTCATAGTGGTTGCTGCTTGTCTCTCTCTGTCATGTGAATGAGGCTGTTTATTCTTCAGGGTAAAGTTAATCATCCTCCTGAATGTGGTTCTTTTTTGTGCCTCTCTCGTGCAATCCTCTGAGCCTGAGGGTGGGAAAGGAATGCTTAGAGCCTGGAACAGAACTTGTCACATGGAATATCCAATAGTAATCGATAACCAGAGTGCACTTTGTGTTTGAGACTTATTTGATATTTGAGAGATTTTTGGAATATAATTGTTTTCCAGCTCTTTGTCTTGACAGATTGAGATGACTGACGATATGTGATGTCTCAGGAGATGAAATGAGCAAGGCTAGAAAACATATAGTTTCTCTGACAAGGGACTTTTAGGACGCATTAGAGAAACATAAATATGTTTTTTTTTAACTGACACCTTGGTTTTTGTCTTTCACCCTGACTGACAAATAAGATATCTCCCAATCTCCTCGCCAAAGTCCTCTCCGAGGAATAAACAGATTGTGTGTTGTAATGGCTGTGGTTTAGGTTTAGAATCTGGCTTACCTTTAAATCAAGTGAGGCTTGTTTCAGTTATTTCACTGTGAAAACTGAAAAATTGTGTTTGGAAAAGATTTTCTCCCTCTATTTAAACATCTTTTTTTCTTAAAAGTTAAGCTTGTTATTTCAAAAATGTTTTTCAAGTCTCTTGAAATGAATTCTGATATTTGCAATTCTTTGACTTCTTTGCTGGAGATTAAAATCTCTGATCTTCCAAGGAGATGTCATTAACCAAAGTAACAATCTTGGTGGAATGCTTTTGAGGCACCAACCGAGTTAATGATTATTAGCCAGCAAGTTCCTATCAAGGCATCAGTCAATTTTAGGTATAGCTGGAGAGATGAACAACAACACCTGTTAATTTAGGGGTTCTCCCAATGACAAACTGGGCTCTCTTATTCTTTAATTTGGGAGAATGGCACAATATCTTATTTTAATTTGTTGCTTCTGAGTGGGATAAATGAGATTCCAGAGAGCCAGTGTTCATCATGTTTCTTGGTTGTAGTAGTTATTTCCCCTTGCCTCCCCTGCCAAAAAAAAAAAAAAAAGAATGCTTCTGTGATATTTTCTCAAGGAAGCTATAAAACTCCTAGGAGAACTTTTACATATTCATTCATTTACAAAAAATATTATTGGGTGCTTCTATTTTGCTAGGCACTGTGTTAAATGTAGGAGGAAAGAAAGAGGAACTGAGCACAAATCTGCTTTCAAATAACTTATAGGCTGGAAGGGGAGATAGGACACTGCACACCCAGGCAAATCAGACTTAAATAGCTCTTTATTTTATCCTACAGAGTTGGGCCCAAGGCAGTTTCTCCATCAATGCTTTTTTGGCTGCAAGTTAACTAGAAGAGATTGTAGATACCATCCAGTCCAATTAGTCCATGTCACCAATGAGGAAGCAGACTCTGAAAGGCTAAGCAACATGCCCAGGGTGATACAGGTAATGAGAGGCTAAGCTAAAGATGTGATTCTGAGTCTAAGGTGCTTCTGCCCTCTAAAGAAGCTATATTTCCTGATTTCACTGCATATAAATTCATACTCCGGATTCATAACCTGACTTGACTGACTGATTTATCTTGAGGACTGCCATGCCCAAAATTAAGTTAGAAGTTGGAGACTCTGGATGGAGTTAATACAGAGAGATCCCATTTGGCTTTTGTACTTCACAAAGTCTCATTCCAAATATGTAACAATTTCTCCTTTCCTTTAACTTTTTTTTTTTTGGCATCTTACATTTTGTTCTAAGAGATGAAATTGGTAAGAGAGTTGAAGATATCAGTCTCAGGGCCTGCCAGCCCTGCTACCAAAGCTACTTATTTTTCGGTGTGCAAATAATATGATTGAGGCAGTAGGAGTGTGAAGAGAAGAGGGAAAAACATCTCAGGAAGTATAAGTATTCATGATCATTTCCACATATTTTTTTGCCTTTAATTAAAAATCAGATTGAAATTATTCTGGTTGGAAATCAGTCTTTTTCATTGAGCAGTTATTGCTGAATTCTCCAGTCTCAACTTATTCCTCTCACAGGTATCATAGCTGGTCTGATGCTAGACTAATGTGTGTGAAATAGATTTCTGACAGCCAAAATACCTAGGTCCATTTGGGAGAATACATTTTCGTAAATCTGTGTTTCCCCAAATGTAACACAAGACCTGTATATTTAAAATACATAAAAAACAGCTCCAAAGCACATTGCAAAAACAGGAAGGGGAAAAATCAATAAAATATTAGCTATAACATAACAGAATTTCTATTCATAGATAAGGGAAAAAGAACATCCTCTGATTTCACCTTTTGTTAACATAAATAACTAGTTTTGTTTTAAAATCAATTTCCTGGAAATTGGACTTTGGGTGGTAATCACACAACAGAATATATAGATGTCAAATTATAATGTACACCTGAAAATTATATAATTGTATTAACCAATGTTACCCCAATAAACTTAATAAAAAGTAAAAATAAATAAAAAGAAAAAGAAAAAGAAAAAAATAAAATCAACTTCCTCCTTTTACATTTAAGTTCTCAAGCCTTTAAAACTATATACAAAATGATAGGACAGAAATTAAAATAATTAATACTATCAGTTTTTTTTAAAAAACAATTCTTCAATGCTGTCTGTGGTAGAGTGAAAAGCAGAACACAAATGAACACATTAAATTCAACACACCCTTGGTATTTGAGAAGTTAATATTATAAGAGCTACTTTTCTTTCATTGTCAAAAGAAAGTGGCTATCTAATCAGAGGAAAAGGGTGTCATGAGAATATTTTCAAATTATTGGTTAAATAGGCCTTTGTATTTTTGTCTTAAGTCAGATTGTCTTCACAAAGAGGAATGTAGAGTCGAGTGTCTGAGATGTAGGAGAAAAATACATGTCTTTGCACAGCTTTCAATGACCTTTCATTTATCCCACTCTCCTTCCCTCCTACTCTCTTTTGTCCAAAATACGACCTGGATCAGAAGAGTGACTGCAGTCACTTTTCAGCCTTGTACTGTCCTGGGCTCTTCAGCCTTGGGAGCAACCTAGCGAAGTACATCCTGTGAAATCAGTTACAAACTTAGAGAAACTTAGTAGTTTTCACCATATTTTTGCTATTGACTTCTGACGAGGCAAATACCTAGGACATAGTTGACACTGTATATTTGACAATTTGGTGGGGTAGGTCTTTTAAATAATCACATTTTACTTTTGTAGTACTTTTCCTGTGAACATCTTCCAAAATTTATAGAAATTGGAGCTCAGTCCCATGGATGACCAAGCTCTATCTTAGGTGTCAGCTGGATAATTCAGAAGGCCCTAAAGGTTTTGCTGAGAGGTCGTATAATTGGATGGATGTGCTCAAGATGGCCAGGTGCGCACTCATTCCATATGACAGGTGAGTGCGTTAGTGAATCCCATGGCAGGAAGAGAGGAGGCATCACTACCTCTAGGACAAGCCAGCTAATCAACAATTCCCAAATGACTTGGTGCTCCATGCCAACTATTGCATGAGGGAAAAAGAGCCTATGGTAAGAAAGATTTAAAATGATACAAATGCTTTATGTTGTGAGAGGGAAAAAAATCAGCAAAAATATGAGTCAGGTGCTACAGACATTTTCTGTGCATTGTTTTGTAATTAATCCTTACAGTTTTCTCTAATATAAATTATCCAGATTAGGACCGAGGCAGAGAGATTAGGGAGGGAGAAGATAGGTGAAGAGATAATAAACTAGCATTCACTGGGCCCCAGATATGAGTCTAGCATTCTGCTAGGTGGTTCAGATATATTGTTTAATTCTGACAGCACTCTTGTGGTAGGGATTATACTCTTTTTTATGAAGGAGAAGGAAACTGAGGCTCAGGGGTTAAAAAATGTGTTCAAGGTCACGCAAGCAGTAGGCAGTGAAATCAAACTTGGAAGCCAGATCGAGTTCTCATCAATATACCATTCTTCCTTCACTATATTCCTTAGTAAGAAAACAGATGCTTAAAATTTCAGTTTTTCGAATCCTATGCTAGTTTCCAAATGACTTTCTGCTAGTATATCCTTTTAAGAAGTTAACATATCTGACAGAAATTAATAGTATGCATATTTATAATTAGTGATAGTTCTAAAGATAGAGGACTCTAAGGCATTTTGAAGTGATTGCTTGCTTTACTTTTAAAAAATATTCTTAATTTCTTTTTGCTAAGAAATCTTGCTACTCCAAAAATAGGCCCTAACAACTCCCTCAGAAATTGCAATTCCTTACACTTAATGAATGTGAATGGATTTTCAGTGAAATTTTAAATATAAGAGTTAAATATATGAGGGCACAGCCAAAGCTGAATACGCTGGAAATTTCCCCATAAGGTCATGGTGCTGAATACCTACACAAAAAATGCTGAAATAACTACGGGCATTAACAGAGCCAAGAACTAACTGACAGCGGAATTTACATAGCATAAATATAGGGAAGAAACAGATACATACCAAGAAATGGTTTAGCTCACAATAAGTGGTCCAAAATTGATTGATTATTTATATTTAGTTTAAGATCCCATGTTAAGTACATTAAAGAGGGTACACACATAGAAGACTCTTGATTGTTTAGAAAAACTGGAATTAGGGTAAAATTTGCCCCACTTTTGGCTTGAAAAGATTCCCTATTTAGGGAGTCCAAATGTCTGTACCATCTTTGCCATTAACTCACCGTATAATGTGGGTGAGTCTCTTAAAAACATAAATTCTCACTTTCCTTTGGGTAAACAAAAGGGGTTAGACTAACTCTCTAAGGCCCTTCCAGCTTTTGCATTCTAATATACTGTATAGCAAGATTAAAATTTGTTGTGACAGTTCTCTTCACCTCATAAAGAGAAAGATAATAATTCACTTCTTTCCATATTCATGAAGATTAATGTCATAACGATGCTCTGTCTTCACATTCATTCTCTTTATGAATTGCAACCCCAGAACTTGTGCTGTGCTGGATTCATGGAAAAACAAATGACTTTCATGCATAATGAAGCTCGTATCTTGCTAATCTGTCTTGTATAAACTAAGTCCCTAAGGTATAACGATCATTTTTAACTACACATTTGTTTAAATTCTCTGACATGCAACT